TTGACTGTTTCCAGGCTTTGATATTGCTGGAATACTGCGGTGTAATACACGCTGACCATGTACTGTTGTCCTGCAGGGTATTGACTGTTTCCAGGCTTTGATATTGCTGGAATACTGCAGTGTAATACACGCTGACCATGTACTGTTGTCCTGCAGGGTATTGACTGTTTCCAGGCTTTGATATTGCTGGAATACTGCGGTGTAATACACGCTGACCATGTACTGTTGTCCTGCAGGGTATTGACTGTTTCCAGGCTTTGATATTGCTGGAATACTGCGGTGTAATACACGCTGACCATGTACTGTTGTCCTGCAGGGTATTGACTGTTTCCAGGCTTTGATATTGCTGGAATACTGCAGTGTAATACACGCTGACCATGTACTGTTGTCCTGCAGGGTATTGACTGTTTCCAGGCTTTGATATTGCTGGAATACTGCGGTGTAATACACGCTGACCATGTACTGTTGTCCTGCAGGGTATTGACTGTTTCCAGGCTTTGATATTGCTGGAATACTGCAGTGTAATACACGCTGACCATGTACTGTTGTCCTGCAGGGTATTGACTGTTTCCAGGCTTTGATATTGCTGGAATACTGCGGTGTAATACACGCTGACCATGTACTGTTGTCCTGCAGGGTATTGACTGTTTCCAGGCTTTGATATTGCTGGAATACTGCGGTGTAATACACACTCGCCATGTACTGTTGTCCTGCAGGGTATTGACTGTTTCCAGGCTTTGATATTGCTGGAATACTGCGGTGTAATACACGCTGACCATGTACTGTTGTCCTGCAGGGTATTGACTGTTTCCAGGCTTTGATATTGCTGGAATACTGCGGTGTAATACACGCTGACCATGTACTGTTGTCCTGCAGGGTATTGACTGTTTCCAGGGTTTGACATTGCTGGAATACAGCGGTATAATACACACTCGCCATGTACTGTTGTCCTGTGGGGTATTGAGGACAAGCTGATCCAGACGTCCAGCGGAGGCCTCAAGTACTTCGCTGAATACAAGTCCGGGCGTCTGGAGCACAGGATGGACCATATGTCCTGCTTTGCTGGTAGGGAGGAAACTTATAGTCTCACAGTCTCTCTTGAATTCGAATGTACTGGCCCAAACTATCTCTTGAATGTACTGGCCCAAACTATCTCTTGAATATACTGGCCCAAACTATGTCTTGAATATACTGGCCCAAACTATCTCTCGAATGTACTGGCCCAAAGTAGCTTTTGAATGTACTGGCCCAAAGTAGCTTTTGGATATATACTGGCCCAAAGTAGCACTTGAATGGACTGGCCCAAACTATCTCTCGAATGTACTGGCTCAAACTATCTCTTGAATGTACTAGCCCAAACTATATCTTGAATGTACTAGCCCAAACTATATCTTGAATATACTGGCCTAGACTATCTTTTGAATGTACTGGCCCAAAGTAGCTATTGTGTGTACTGGCCCAAAGTAACTCTTGAACATACTGGCCCAAACTATCTCTCGAATGTACTGGCCTAAACTAGCTCTTGAATGTACTGGTCCAAACTAACTCTTGAATGTACTGGACCAAAATAGCTATTGAATATACTGGCCCTAACGATCTCTTGAATGTTCTGGCCGAAACTATCTCTTGAATGTACTGTCTCAAAGTAGCTCTTGTGTGTTCTGGCCCAAATTTAGCTCTTGAATATACTGGCCCAATTATCTCTCGAATGTACTGGCCCAAACTATCTCTTGATTATACTGGCCCAAACTATCTCTTGAATGTACTGGCCAAAACTAGCTCTTGAACGTACTGGCCCAAACTATCTCTTGAATGTACTGGCCTAAACTATCTCTTAAATGTACTGGCCCAAAGTATCTCTTGAATATACTGGCCCAAAGTAGCTCTTGAATGGACTGGTCCAAACTAGCTCTTGAATGTACTGGCCCAAACGATCTCTTGAATAAACTGGCCCAAACTATCTCTCGAATGTACTGGTCCAAACTATTTCTTGAACATACTCGCCCAAACTATCTCTTGAATGTATTGGCCAAAAGCAACTCTCGAATGTACTGGCCTATACTAGCTCTTGAATGTGCTGGCCCAAACTAATTAATTGGTTTGTAACCTGTACATGTTGAATGTGATTTGTCCATTTACCTCTGGCAATAGCTGTGGTACATCTTTTAGTCTTAGGATGGATCAATGCTTTAATGCAATATAAATCACTACAGAGTTGCATCCCTTTGTCGTATGAGGATATGCATTGGTGGGTTCAATCGCTAACTGTTTGGTAAGTAAGATGGGTTACATGGGTGTGTTACATGGGTGTGTTACATGGGTCTGCTTCATGGGTGTGTTACATGGGTCTGCTTCATGGGTGTGTTACATGGGTGTGTTACATGGGTCTCCTACATGGGTGTGTTACATGGGTGTGTTACAAGGGTCTGCTGCAAGGGTGTGTTACATGGGTGTGTTACATGGGTGTGTTACATGGGTCTGCTTCATGTGTGTGTTACATGGGTGTGTTACATGGGTCCGCTTCATGGGTGTGATAGATGGGTGTGTTGCATGGGTCTGCTTCATGGGTGTGTTACATGGGTCTGCTTCATGGGTGTGTTACATGGGTGTGTTACATGGGTCTACTACATGGGTGTGTTACATAAGTCTGCTTCATGGGTGTGTTACATGGGTATGCTTCATGGGTGTGTTATATGGATGTGTTACATGTGTGTGTAACATGGGTGTGTTAAATGGGTGTGTTACATGCATCTGCTACAGTGGTGTGTTATATGGGTCTGCTACAGTGGTGTGTTACATGGGTGTGTTACATGGATGCGTTACATGGGTCTGTTAGATTGGTCCGCTACACGGGTGTGTTACATGGGTCTGTTAGATGGGTGTGTTAGATTGGTCTGCTGCATGGGCATGTTACATGGATCTGCTACGGTGGTGTGCTATATGGGTCTGTTACATGGATGTGTTACATGGGTCTGTTACATGGGTGCGTTACATGGGTCTGATACATGGGTGTGTTATTTGGGTCTGCTGCAGTGGTGTGCTACATGGGTGTGTTACATGGATGTGTTACATGGGTCTGTTACATGTGTGCGTTACATGGGTCTGATACATGGGTGTGTTATATGGGTCTGCTACATGGGTGTGTTACATGGATCTGCTACATGGGTGTGTTACATGGGTCTGTTACATGGATCTGATACATGGGCGTGTTACATGGGTCTGCTACATGGGCGTGTTACATGGATCTGCTACATGTGTGCGTTACATGGGTGTGTTACATGGGTCTGTTGCATGGGCGTGTTACATGGATCTGCTACAGTGGTGTGCTATATGTGTGTGTTACATGGATGTGTTACATGGGTCTGTTACATGGGTGCGTTACATGGGTGTGTTACATGGGTCTGTTGCATGGGCGTGTTACATGGATCTGCTACAGTGGTGTGCTACATGGTTGTGTTACATGGGTGTGTTACATGGGTCTGTTACATTGGTGCGCTACATGGGTCTGATACATTGGTGTGTTATATGAGTCTGATACATGGGTGTGTTACATGGGTGTGTTTGATTGGTCTGTTACATGGGTGTGTTACATGGATATGTTACATGGGTGTGTTTGATTGGTCTGTTACATGGGTGTGTTACATGGGTCTGTTTCATGGGTGTGTTTGATTGGTCTGTTACATGGGTGTGTTACATGGGTCTGTTTCATGGGTGTGTTAGATTGGTCAGCTACATGGATCTGTTACATGGATCTGCTATATGGTTGTGTTACATGGGTCTGCTGCATGGGTATGTTACATTGGTATGTTACATGGGTCCGTTACATGGGTCTGTTAGAACATGTTGTAAAAAGCCAACTTCCATTCATTCATGCGCCTTTGCTTTGCTGCACAGATTAAGAAATGATGCATATGTGACCCGGAGTTCATTAACCCTTGTAATCAACATGAAACAACCTAATTTTATGTTGCCAACTCAATACTGTGTCTTAACGTTTCTAACTCCTAAGAAGTTCGCAGCTGACCCTTGCTGATTCCATCGTTTCAGATGAGGCTGTTCCCCTACAGCTAATTACCCAACACATGAAGTCGGCCTGTACATGGGAGCAAAACCATCTTCGAGAAACCAATGTGTTGTTGATGATATTGTTCTGATATTAAAGATAAATATTTTACATTCTATAGAAAATATCAAAGGTGTAAAACTTTGCAATAGGCTATTGGTGCCTGAATGGCCATTCTCAGGTCACATGACTGTCTAAACCAGATTGATTAAACTACCACGTGACTGGAGGAGAGACGAGAAGTTTTCCATGTATTTCTCCTGGGACAAGAAAAAGCTGGCATAAATTCACAGAGGCTGATTTGAAGGCTTACACAGTGTTCTGACACGTGGGAATTGAAAAGGAAATTACACAGTGCCAAAAATAAGACACTTGATAAATGTTGCACAGTCCATTAAATTAAATGCACACAAAAATAGTTGATTCAGAGCCATCTTCAATTACATCAAGGCAAGAAGTTTCTGTTCCCAATTTCAACATTTAAAATTCTTTCAAATCTCTAATTTTAATGAGGACAAATAATACAATTTAAACCAGAATTCTTAAAGAGTTGTGAAAAATGTGTAGCAATGTCAAGGACGATGTATCTAACGAAACTAAATGGCGTCACACTTATAAAGCAACGCTGTGCAGAGACAGGGAAACGCTTCCATTGTGACTCCATACTACCTCAGTGACATGACAGGGAGATAAGTGAGTGACATCACTCAAAAAGTGGTGATTGCTGTTGGTTGCTTTGTTCATGAGGAAGTTCCTTTCGATGGAAGAAACCTAGGACGTGGTTAAAAGCAATAAAATGTAATTTGAAGAACTGTTGTTCCTTTTGGCATTGCGCACTGCAGACATTGTGTCTGTGTACCAAAGGTAATTATACACTGATCCATGGCTATACATCGTGAAACATGAATAAAACAGAATTCATTTCGCCAAAACTGACATGTTGCTCCACACCCGTCCTCGTCCATTCCTCAATCTGTCCTCAATCTGTCCTCCATCTGTCCTTCATCTGTCCTCAATCTGTCCTTCATCTTTCCTCCATCTGTCCTCCACCTGTCCTTCATCCGTCCTTCATCTGTCCTCAATATGTCCTTCATCTGTCCTTAATCTGTCCTCAATATGTCCTCCATCTGTCCTTCATCTGTCCTCAATCTGTCCTCTATCTGTCCTCCATCTGTCCTCCATCTGGTCTCCATCTGTCCTCCATCTGTCCTTCAACTGTCCTCCATCTGTCCTCCATCTGTCCTTCAACTGTCCTCCATCTGTCCTTCAACTGTCCTCCATCTGTCCTTCAACTGTCCTCCATCTGTCCTTCAACTGTCCTCAATCTGTCCTCCATCTGTCCTTCATCTGTCCTCAATCTGTCCTCCATCTGTCCTCCATCTGTCCTCCATCTGTCCTTCACCTGTCCTCCATCTGCCCTCCAACTGTCCTTCAACTGTCCTCCATCTGTCCTTCAACTGTCCTCCATCTGTCCTCCATCTGTCCTCCATCTGTCCTTCAACTGTCCCCAATCTGTCCTCCATCTGTCCTTCAACTGTCCTCCATCTGTCCCCAATCTGTCCTCCATCTGTCCTTCATCTGTCCCCAATCTGTCCCCCATCTGTCCTTCAGCTGTCCTTCATCTGTCCTCCATCTGTCCTCCATCTGTCCTTCAACTGTCCTCCATCTGTCCTTCATCTGTCCTCCATCTGTCCCCAATCTGTCCTTCAACTGTCCTCCATCTGTCCTTCATCTGTCCTCCATCTGTCCTTCATCTGTCCTCAATCTGTCCCCCATCTGTCCCCAATCTGTCCTTCAACTGTCCTCCATCTGTCCTCCATCTGTCCCCCATCTGTCCTCCATCTGTCCTTCAACTGTCCTCCATCTGTCCTTCATCTGTCCTCCATCTGTCCCCAATCTGTCCCCCATCTGTCCTTCATCTGTCCTTCATCTGTCCTTCATCTGTCCTCCATCTGCCCCCCATCTGTCCTTCACCTGTCCTCCATCTGTCCCCCATCTGTCCTCCATCTGTCCTTCAACTGTCCTCCATCTGTCCTTCATCTGTCCTCCATCTGTCCCCAATCTGTCCCCATCTGTCCTTCATCTGTCCTTCATCTGTCCTTCATCTGTCCTCCATCTGCCCCCCATCTGTCCTTCACCTGTCCTCCATCTGTCCCCCATCTGTCCTCCATCTGTCCCCAATCTGTCCCCCATCTGTCCTTCATCTGTCCTTCATCTGTCCTCCATCTGTCCTCCATCTGTCCTTCACCTGTCCTCCATCTGCCCTCCAACTGTCCTCCATCTGCCCTCCAACTGTCCTTCAACTGTCCTTCATCTGTCCTTCAACTGTCCTTCATCTGTCCTTCAACTGTCCTCCATCTGTCCCCAATCTGTCCTCCATCTGTCCTTCATCTGTCCTTCATCTGTCCTCCATCTGTCCTCCATCTGTCCTTCATCTGTCCTTCATCTGTCCCCCATCTGTCCTCCATCTGTCCTTCATCTGTCCTCCATCTGTCCCCCATCTGTCCTCCATCTGTCCTCCATCTGTCCTTCATCTGTCCTTCATCTGTCCCCCATCTGTCCTCCATCTGTCCTTCATCTGTCCCCCATCTGTCCTTCATCTGTCCTTCATCTGTCCTCCATCTGTCCTCCATCTGTCCTTCATCTGTCCTCCATCTGTCCCCAATCTGTCCTCCATCTGTCCTTCATCTGTCCTTCATCTGTCCTCCATCTGTCCTTCATCTGTCCCCCATCTGTCCTCCATCTGTCCCCAATCTGTCCCCCATCTGTCCTTCATCTGTCCTCCATCTGTCCTTCAACTGTCCTTCAACTGTCCTTCATCTGTCCTTCAACTGTCCTCCATCTGTCCTTCATCTGTCCTCCATCTGTCCCCCATCTGTCCTTCATCTGTCCTCCATCTGTCCCCAATCTGTCCCCCATCTGTCCTTCATCTGTCCTTCATCTGTCCTTCATCTGTCCTCCATCTGTCCTCCATCTGTCCTTCACCTGTCCTCCATCTGCCCTCCAACTGTCCTCCATCTGCCCTCCAACTGTCCTTCAACTGTCCTTCATCTGTCCTTCAACTGTCCTCCATCTGTCCTTCAACTGTCCTTCAACTGTCCTTCATCTGTCCTTCAACTGTCCTCCATCTGTCCCCAATCTGTCCTTCATCTGTCCTTCATCTGTCCTCCATCTGTCCCCCATCTGTCCTCCATCTGTCCTCCATCTGTCCTCCATCTGTCCTCCATCTGTCCTCCATCTGTCCTCCAACTGTCCTCCATCTGTCCTCCATCTGTCCTCCATCTGGTCTCACACCTGGACACACTGCTTCGCTGGTCATCAAAGTTTGGGGGCACTACAAACCCATTGAACCTTGCTACCCCATAATGCAACAGCTTAATGCCCCTTTAAGTTCGGATATATCTAAATTCCATCCTAACACTTGGTAAACACGACACTCTTTCCGCCAAAACCCGATCCGAGGTATCACGGTAGATGAATCATCAAGCCACTTCATTTATAAACATGAAGACGGAGTCCCATCGCCCCCGGCAGTGACGACCTAAACTTCGTCTTCTGCTGTACAAGCTAGTGACCTCCCTGGTGACCTTCACGCCTCTAGTACCGCGATAGTGTAGATGTCTGACGAGCCATCAGACCCCGGTCTCCGATCTCACCTGATTACTGTGGAATCAGCAGACAACTTGCTGATGTCTGTCGGTAAGAACTGGTTGATTGGAGAGATACACAATGTCCACGACTAAATACCCGCGAGGGGGAGCTGCAATATATTGCCCCAGATTTACATTGGACATGTTTAAATGCAATAGTGTGGACGTTGTTGACTGTATCAAATGTACCTTCATACAAATCTGGTCCCACGTGATCTTACACTGGGAACAAAACAACAGTTGTCAGGAAGTATGATTTGGTTAATAGATTTTAGTTTGAGACAGAATATGTTACTGCTTCAAAACACGCAATGCGTGACTGTGAAGGGAACTGTTTGACTGTTTAATAGGCGTTTCTAAGAAGTTGACGGATGACAAAGTAGACACAAGTCATGGATAACAACTCCTTTGTTTCTCTGTAATGGCAAAGTTTCGGTATAGATCCTTATACCGTTGTCTTGCTTTACAACAGTATTAGGATCTATTCCAAAACTTTGTCGCATGGCAGCGTCCTATTTACGACGTCATCAAGTTGAGAGCGCACGTTCGAATTTCCAGAAATGACGTCACGACAGAACACTGTTTTATCGTGAAATGAAACACGCTTCGTTCTTCATTGTTCTTGGAGATTTATCGCGTAGCTGTCTTATATAGTTAAATAAAGACGTTGTTATCTATCAACTGTGTCTTCTTTGTGAAAGGAAGAGCTATAAATGTATGTGTACTAGTCTGTATCTTGAAATATCGAGGCACAGATAATCTATCATTCTGTTATTATATATATTACTTCATCATTTTCAGATAGAAAGTGAAGAAAAGTGTATGAATTGTCATCCCTACCGTGACACCTCACTTCGTTAACTTTGCGATGTTGGTGAGTGAATGAGTTGGTTAACGCCGCTTTGGCAGTTTTCCAGTTATCTCACGGCGTGTCAGTGTGGGACAAACCTCGAAGTGATGCAGGTCTCAGACTTTAACCACTTTGGTGAAACCACAAGGATGGGTATGGGATTGACAACCCCAGAAACATAATCGGGGCGAACCGGTATTCGAACCCACGATCATAGGTTTCTGGCGTGGCCAAGGGACGCATCTCTGAAACAGCGAATTGCGGCGACTTAGACGACTAGTCCCACGTGTCCCGATGTTTGTGACGTCATCCACGTAACACGTTGTATACATGGTGATATGCCCCTGGTCACCGGGGTTAAGTACCACACACTCTGATGTGTCAGGATAGCTTGTTAGTCAGGTTTGTTTTTTTTGTTTAACGCCGCACTCAGCAATATTCCACCTATATGGAGGCGGTTTATAATATTCGAGTCTGGATCAGACAATCCAGCGATTGACATCATGAGCATCGATCCACGCAGTTGGGAAACCATGACATGCATCAACCAAGTCAGCGAGCCAGACCGCCCGATCCCGTTAGTCGCCTCTTACGACAAGCATAGTCGCCTTTTACGGCAAGCATTGGTTGCTGAAGACCTATTCTACCCCGGATCTTCACGGGTCTGTGTGCAAGGAAATCCCATAAGTCAGGACAGCTTGTTAGTCAGAAAAAAAACGTTAGTCAGGACAGCTTGTTAGTCAGGACAGCTTCTTAGTCAGGAAATCCAGGAAATGCCGGTAGTCAGAAAACCCCGTTAGTCAGGACGGCTTGTTATTCAGGAAATCCCATTAGTCAGGACAGCTTGTTAGCCAGGAAATCCCGTTAGTCAGGACAGCTTGTTAGCCAGGAAATCCCGTTAGTCAGGACAGCTTGTTAGACAGGAAATCCCGTTAGTCAGGACAGCTTGTTAGTCAGGAAATCCCGTTAGTCAGGACAGCTAGTTAGCCAGGAAATCCCGTTAGTCAGGACAGCTTGTTAGCCAGGAAATCCCGTTAGTCAGGACAGCTTGTTAGCCAGGAAATCCCGTTAGTCAGGACAGCCTGTTAGTCAGGAAATCCCGTTAGTCAGGACAGCTAGTTAGTCAGGAAATCCCGTTAGTCAGGACAGCTTGTTAGTCAGGAAAATGTCGTTAGTCAGGACAGCTTGTTAGCCAGGAAATCCCGTTAGTCGGGACAGCCTGTTAGTCAGGAAACCCCGTTAGTCAGGACAGCTTGTTAGTCAGAAAAAAAAAGATAGTCAGGACAGCTTGTTAGTCAGGACAGCTAGTTAGTCAGGAAATCCCGTTAGTCAGGAAAGCTTGTTAGTCAGGAAACCCAATTAGTCAGGACAGCTTGTTAGCCAGGAAATCCCGTTAGTCAGGACAGCTTGTTAGTCAGGAAAATGTCGTTAGTCAGGACAGCTTGTTAGTCAGAGAAAAAACGTTAGTCAGGACAGCTTGTTAGTCAGGACAGCTTGTTAGTCAGGAAACCCAATTAGTCAGGACAGCTTGTTAGTCAGGAAATCCAGGAAATGCCGGTAGTCAGAAAACCCCGTTAGTCAGGACGGCTTGTTATTCAGGAAATCCCATTAGTCAGGACAGCTTGTTAGCCAGGAAATCCCGTTAGTCAGGACAGCTTGTTAGTCAGGAAATCCCGTTAGTCGGGAAACCCCGTTAGTCAGGACAGCTAGTTATTCAGAAAATCTCGTTAGTCGGGAAACCCCGTTAGTCAGGACAGCTTGTTATTCAGGAAATCCCGTTAGTTGGGAAACCCCGTTAGTCAGGACAGTTTGTTATTCAGGAAATCCCGTTAGTCGGGAAACCCCGTTAGTCAGGGTAGCTTGTTAGTCTGGAAGCACTCCCTTCCAAACAAGAAGACACATACAGAACATTAACCTGTATTAATAACGTGCTACTTTGTCTAGATCGTGGCTCTTGTATCGGCTCCATGAGGATTAACATAGTTTCCTTCTGCCCCATGCCTGGGATGTGATCACCTGTGTCAACATACAACATCAATACACGAGAAGGACAAGTCTTCACTAGCCGCCGACAAAGATTCCCCTGCAAGACAGCTGTGGACATTGAATTGAAAGTGAATGGATCACTGAATCTCAGGTGGGGTGGGTAGTTATACATAAGTAGTTAGTGAGCAGCAATCACCTACTCACTGTCGCGAGAGGGTCGCATATAAAACATAAGTCGCCAACATTGGGTCTGACCCAACAGTCTGAGTTACGGTCTTTGTTACAACAACAATGTTACATTCATAAAGGGTGAGTTGTTGTGAGCTGGTTATCTTGTGAGAAGAGGGTTTTAAAATGATCAAAGTCACTGTAAATTCGGTTACTAACAAATAATTTATATGTTTTTTAATAAATACGTTGCCCTTTGAGGTTAATAAATGTAATTCATGTAATCCTATGAAAGGAGACTAGAGATGTTTGAGATGAGAAACTGTTTAACTGATGAGATCACCATAATTTTTTGATCACACACATATGTATAAATACTGTATCAATTGCTTTTACATCATTCACAATCATGGCTCTGCGACATGTAGAATACGTTACGTCAGCCCGCGGTACCGAGCAGGTTCTCTTTGAAGGATACTTGTTCAAGAAGAATGCAACAAGCTAAGACAGACAGCACAACACTGGTGTTGTGTAATGGAATCTCGCTCCGGCAAGTGCACTACTGTTGGTGATTTTGTGAGGAATGTGTCAGAGCACAACCGCCCCCCACAGAATTCAAACCGAGTTCGTTTTGTCAGCAACATGAGGAAGAGAGCAAGAGAGGAAACAACCCCGATACAGCAGCTCTACAACCAACAGATCGCTGAAGAAGATGATGACCAAGCCCAAGCCCTCCCTGCCTTCCCCAGCATGAGCAGTGCCCTTTACCGCCACAGAAGGAAGACCATACCCGTCCTGCCCCAAACCAGAGCCCACGTGGACCTAGATGATGCCTGGGGCCATACATCAGATGGGGACCGCTTCCTCCTATCCTCAAGATCCTTGCCTTTGCCAAAGATGAGCAGCTACAGATCCTACAAGGTGCTGAGATGATATACATGGATGGTACCTTTACCGCCTGCCCTGCCCTTTGGGATCAAGTGTACATACTTCACGTCAGAAGTGGATCTGCCAGCTATCCTGTAGTTTTTGCTTTGCTACCCGACCGCCAGATGACAACGTACAGAAGACTGTTCAGCCTTTTGAAGACCCATGTTGCAGACACCCTGAACAGAGAACTTGCTCCAACTCGCCTGCAGACAAGCAGCAATCCGTGCCATCCAGTTGGAGTTCCCCAACGCTGAGGTCATGGGCTGCTTCTTCCACTACAGCCAAACCATATGGAGGAAGACACAAGACCTCGGGCTGGCTGTAGCCTATAAAGAAGATCCAGCAGTGCAACAGTGGATTAAACGGGCAGCAGGTCTAGCGCATCTCCCTGCAGATGATGTCCAAGACGCCTGGCTAGAAGCGATGCAGCACCCACCTGATCTACCCAGAGCTGTGACCTTCAACGACTACATGGTACTGACATGGTCAACGACTACATCCGCCATTATGATGCTTTGAATGTTGAATTACGTCATTAATTCTTGTTAAACATGGTTTAAATTTATAATATTATGTTTAATAAACCATACTTATTTATTAATTACTTTTCTGCTTCAAAATTAGTTTTCTTACAATCTGCAAATGAATTAGTACAAGATTATTCATAATTATAATCCTGGTGTTGCCTATAATTCAAACTTAAACATAAACACAGTTAATGGTCTCTGTGGAACAGTCCATGTCGATAGGTAGAAGGCAGGGGAA